TGTGAGATCACAGTAAAATGTGACCTGGGAAACACCTAATAGCAGAAACTATGACTAAGATATTTAGAATGTCTTCCTTATACAGAGATTTCAGGTGTGCAGCTGGGATCAAACTGAAGGTCCTGCTCAAACATGAGCCCACCCCTCAATACTGAGGACAGGGGAAGTAGGACACCAAGAAGAGAGAAGTGGTCTCTTCCAGCTTTATGGGTCACAAACAGAAGCGTTGCCAAGACCTTACAACAGTGGTGCCTCGACCCATCCCTGAAATCTTCTTGGATTTTCGCTCAGTAACACATTTTTGAAGTTAGATTATAAAGTAAAATTATTATCGAATATCAGAGCTAATAGTTAAAGTCAGGGGTGCTAAGCCTAGATTATACTCCTTTGTGGACGCTGACATGGACTCATTGACTCTATACTTCTTTGACATCTGCTTTAAGAACACCACATTATGATTCACAGCTGCTGTACTGTAATGTAAATCGGGAAGGCATGTGGACGTCCACGTGGAGCCCCGCGCTAGCCATCTAACCCCTAGCAGAAAGTGTAATCCCTGCTTTAGGCTGACTTTGAGCATCAGTAGTAAAACCACAATGCTGATAAAGCACTCATGTGTAAGGCTGCATGTTGACACATTGATAATGTTAGTTCAGTTTTTCTCGTTGTTTCTGCTTCTGTTGTGTCATATTGAGCCCTTCCAAACTGTGCTGCCTCTGTCTGGTCTTTTCTGTGCTCACCTCTTCATCACCTTTCCTGCTCTTTTACTGTGTCATCAACCTGCTGCACTCTTCATCTCCTCTGCCCACTCCTCCTGTTCCCTCTCCTGCACTGGTTGTAAAAGCAATGCAATCATCACATGCCAATTCAATGATCCAAACATCAAATTTTTGATGTGATGATTATGTATTTACCATATTATTGATTAATATTATTCATTAATAAGATCCCGAGGCTCCAGCCATGAAAGCCCAGGCTGATGATGTGCCTGCCCACAGACATGGGCATATTTCCAATACGGTATCTATATATAAGCAATAAAGACAGATGGGGCTATTTTCTCACTGGTGTAACTCACAGCACTTTTAAAATCTATACAGGCCTTTGAGCATGTCCATTTTAATGCTACTGATATGAGCTGTTAATGCTTAACAAGCCTTTTATAAAAAGCTCTTTACCTTTGCATTGTTGTTGGAAGGGGTTCAACAAATAAGCTCTCCTCGCGTTTATGTGTGTCACAGCAGTGGTGTTTTTTTTTCACATCAGCCTGTTTAAGGTTAATGAGACAAAGATAATTTGAGGATCAGGAAAGTGTGGATGTGTGTGTGTGTGTGTGTCCCTGGTGCAGGGCTAATTTAGACTAAAGGGGACACTGCCAGTCAGATTTAGGACAGGAAGTGGAACAGATGACGGAAAGCCACAAAAAATCTATAATGTGCGTATGTGGACACTTTTGCACTGCATTGTGTGCACACCGCTTATCTGAACAAATGATCAAAAAGCTTTTCAGCTGAGCGTCAGCTTTATACCAGGCCGGAGTAACACCGCTAAACGCAGCACAGAGCCCAAATAAGCCGTGGGCCTTAATTCACCCACACAGAGTCAGTCTGGTTAAAATGAAATCACACAGACATGTAGTTAGTCATGCTCACAGAGGTGATCTTTGTGACTGATTCATACTAAACACTTCAGAAAAGGAATGCAAACAAGGCTTCCACTGAAACCATCGCATTGGTCCTTTAACAATCTGAAACTATTGTTTCTGAAATATGTGTCACTTTAAAACTGCAAAATAAATAAATAAAACTGCAAAAAGAAGGTCAAGTTTACAGATAAAGTAGGGGCGAGACTTTTGCCTGGAGAGTGGCGCGTAAGGCTTTCTTTTTACTTGTTTTTTTAAGTTTTGCTTTCACTTGCTAATTAAGTTTGTTTTGATCTATTGTTTAGATAAAAAGACAAAAGTCACCTGACTTTAAAATATTTTAAAGTCACCTGACTTTAAAATATTTTAAAGGTCATAGCTGTTTGATGTGCAATAAAGAAAGTGCTCGTCAGTCAGCTGTCTGATTAATAATGAGCCTCTGAAAATGCATGATAAGTGATTAAAACCTGCACCTCAATCGCATCTTGAGAAGTACATGTGTATCCTGTTACTAACAACTACTAAAAATAGACTCATGTCCCACTGTCATTGAGCAGAGCACAGCAAGCAAAGCGTCATTTTTTTACACTACTGTCTCGTAATGCTCTGCACAGTGTAGCTGTTGGTGAACTGACAGGACCAAAACCTTCAATGGCTAAAACCCCCCCAAAATAAAAGCCAAAAAACAGCTAAAAACTAATGTATTTACACTTGTGTTTGTTTACTCTTGTTTTGAAAAATTCTCTAGGTTTTTGTCATGTTTACCTTCAAAGCTTACATACTTACTAGAAAGGAAGTGATTTGTATTCCTCTTCCTGTCTTTGAGTGGGCAGTAATCAAATCTTAGGTTTACATATATTTTATCTAGTATAAAAAATTATTTATTCAATATGAACAAGACAATATTACATGCATATTGTACCAGAAGACCAAAGACAGTAACTAGAATCATTTCAAGTGTTGATCAGTTGCATTAATCAATACTTTTACATAAAAAAAGAATTATGGTGGAATCTACATAGACAAAAGTGACGAAAACAAACATTCAGTCAACTCTGCTGCTTAGTTTAGCTGCTGTAGCCGACCCCCTTGACAGCCAGGCAGGAGAAGGCCAACACAAAACCCCAACAGAAAGACAAAAAACACAAAGTCGATGCTTTTTTTAAATACAGGTGAGAGCAAAACTACAGAATCTAAGGTCAGCTACAGCTGGAGGAATCCTCTTTTTGTGAGATAACAGAAAAAGAGGATTCCTTCTGTAATGGGAAGATTACATCTGCAACCTCATAAAGAACCGCGGCGAAGTTAACCGATATCTGAATCGTATTAACTGCAAATTCTGTGAATTATAAACATCAATTTAGCGGTTGGAATCCGTTCCTCTGTTTCCCCCCATCATACAGAGCAAATGAACCTTTGTACCAAGATATTGAGATAATTAACCTAATGTTACCAAACAAGCAACGCAAAAAAAGAAAGAGAAGGAACGAGCCAGAAACCATCACTCCAAGTGGATTTTTACAGTTGATTTACCCTCACGTTCATGAGCTGTTGACATGGCTGCTTGCTCATGCGTTCATAAGTTCAGATATCAGCTAGTGCAGCTTTAAACAGCAGCAGTTATGACATTTTCATAGGCACGACAAACTGAAATGTCACCATACAGGCAGTGGTGCAGCCTTTACAGGGAAAATTGCTAGAAACTTTAGTTATATAAATAATCATTGTTGACTTCTGACAGTGCATATAAAACAACCCCCCAAAAAAAAAACCCAAAACAAAACAAAACAACGTTAACACGTGCTTTGTCAAATCTGTAAAACAATACATTTTCAGAAGGTGTGCAAATAACCTCTCAACAACCAGAAACCTTCAGGTTGTCCATCTGTGCCGCAGGTCGCCTGAATTACCTCATGTAGCCATTTCTACCTCTGATGGTTACGGCCTTCTACTCGCTTGTCTCTCCAATAATATCATTCATAGCAGTCACTTGCAGTGATCTTCTATTATCTCTCATTTATAATACAAAGGATAACTTCTTTAAAAAGTAAGAAATAAAATTCTTTATCCTTGTGATAGCACAACGTCCTGACACAGAAACTTGGAGCACATGGGTCTATATAGGGTGAGGGTATGCCCAAAGGTAGTTTCTCACTTGCTTGTTGAGACCAGGTAATGTGCTTATCCTATCTGCTCCAAACACGCCTACAAAGGCCCTCCTGCACATCTGTTTCAGACCCTCTGGGCGGTGAATACGAAAGGGCACCGTCAGTTTACAGCAGGAGCTGGTGTAGTAAGTCAGCAGAGCAAAGAGTGAAGGAAAAGTCCTCTGGCTGCCAAACAGATTGAAGTGGAGCTTGTTCAGCTGGATGCGAATACTCGTCGGGCCATCGTCACTTTGGTAACTCAGAGTGAAGAAAACATCCGGCTGCCCGCTGTCCCTGCAACAGCACAGCGGTGTACAGTCACTACACATGAGCTTGGCAAATGAGATGGACTGCATTGGTTTAGCTTTAATGGGATGAAGGGGGGAAAAAGCGGAAAAAAAACACAACAGTTAAAGAGAGAAATAAAGAAAAACAGCGCTGACTACCTGATAAGGAAGGTTCCAGCAGGAGCATTTTTGAGTTTTCCGTGGGCTTCTTCCATGGTCAGGGATCCCCAGTAGTAATCACTCTGCAGAAGCTGCTGGTAAGTACTTTTTACTAGTTTATACTCTGCTTCGCTGGTGAACGGACGGAGGTGTGTGGGCAAGCCATCGGAATCAGCTCCAGTCACTTCCTACAGCGGAGAAGATCAGACGTGTCCAGTCAATATGATGAAAAACGCACATAAATCAAAGTGTTCTCTGGTGGCTGCAGGGTCTTTATTGCTGATGGTACACCAGAGATTTCACTGCCTACAGCGAACAGCTCCTAATCTGATTAAACAAAAATGAAGGCTGTGCTTTTTCTTGCCCTCGGCTTTGCCTCTAAGGCTAAATATATGTTGCCTGTGTTGCTATTCTTTAAAAACGTGAGGCAAAGTTTTAAGTGATGAGGTCAGTGCACAAGCGCTCCCCGCCAGCCAAAAGATACTCTCCCACAGTCTGTTTGATTCTTGCTTTTGCATGATGACATCAAGCCCCACCCACCCACTGCTCTTTTGTTTTAAAGGAGCAGCCAATTAGAAGAAAGCTGGCTTAAAGAGGGGGTGGCCTTAAAGGGGGAGGAGCTACAGCAGCTTGTTTCAGATCAGTGATGAACTGAAAGGCTTAACAGTGAATAAAGCAAAAAACACTATGGTCCATTAATAAAATAAAACATTGAAAGTTAAAATAAGCATAATAGTTTACTTTAAATGAAACTTAAATGACGCCTGTCAAGTATTTTTAGAACAAATTATTGCACATCGGTCACAAATGAGGTATCAGAAAGAAACTCAAACTTACAAAAATCTGATTTGTAAGGTTTGTGGTGCAACTATACAGCCACTTAGAGAAAAAAAAACATTTCAAAGAATTTTAAAATCTTTGAAATGTCTTTTGTTTTTTAAAATTAGAGTGCTTTTTTTCTTTTTTGTTAAGCTTGCTCATCACGTGAACTTGTGACTCGGCGTCTTATGTAATAAACAAAAAATGTACAGCAAGGAATGTTGCTGGAAACTTTCCGAATAGCTGAAACCGCCATACCACAAAGGGTTCTTTCACTTTCTCAGCGTGAACTCAATGCTTGGGTCATTTACTAGAAACTTTATCAGTTCACTTCACGTGTTAATTTCCATAAGCGCCACTTGTAACGTTTTGCTCTGACACAAGATGCACTCTGTGGGCGATAACATTGTAAGACCACTACCAACACCATAATGGTGCTGTAAATCCTTGGCTCATGAGGGGGAGGCATGCTCAGGTTCAAAGTCCAATGATAAAGCCAGGCAGGCTTCCAAACACTTTCCTTGTAACAACAACAACGATTTCCTGTCGGGGAGTGTCATTTTGTACCGACCTGGTCTGAGTGACCGAGTTTATTACCGCCACGCTCCAGCCATATGGTTTATTTTCCTTAATAAATTTATCAGCTTTTATTTTGACAGCAGTTTAAAAACAAACGTTTGTGGGTCACTTGTAGTTTCACTTTTACAAATGTTGTCATATTATATTAGTATCCATCATATTGTTAATAATGTAAAACAAACACTGCTGAATTTTTCAATCGCATTATTATTTAGTTTCGCTTTTAGCCTAACTTAAATGAAAAAGAAACTGATTTAAAAATATACTTTTGCATGACATTGCCTAAAAGTACACGCTCAAGTACTTGTTCTGTACATCTGAAAATCTTTATAAATGCATTCAATTTTACTCACTTTGAGGGAAACTGCTGTTTCCTCCACTGTATCTGTTTGATAACAGTAGCTACTAGTTTTGATCTATACAAATGTATAATTGACAAATGAGCTGTGATGGACATTTAAGACAGTTCCCAGCAGTGTGTAAAGTAGTTAAAAAGCTGCAACATTAAAGTTGTGCCCATGCATTAGTGCACACATGTTAATGATCGAATAATCAATAAAGGCATAAAATGTGGTATTCTGCCTGCTGAGTGCTTTTAATATTTAAACAATCTATCACCAAAAACAACATGAGTAAAATCAGCAGTGAGTGATCGCGAACACTAACCCAGAGCTCAGCGTCTTCCTCACAGTTGTTTTTGACCCAGTGCAGTAAATCCAGCTCTCTCGACTCCGCTCTGTTTGGGCTCTGTTCCCGGTGTTCTTCAGAGGGCTCACTCGGGCTCTGTGGTTCGGCTGCGTGGCTCTGTTTTGGGCTTTGTACTACCACTTTATTGCAATTGTCTCTGACCATCCTACAAAGAACAATCCTCCTCTTGACCACCTGTTGCACCAGTTACTCCGTTTTTCACTGGCAGATCCTCCATCATTCACTCCTTCCCGGCTGGTCATCTGTTGCTCAGTGCACTTTGAGACGCCATGCTGCAGAGAGTTTATATTGTAACTTTAATCCTCAGCTTTTCACAAATACTTAATATCTCATTAATCACATTGTCATTTCTGGTGTACATGTTTTATGCCTCCTGATGAGCGCACAGCTGATGTTTGAAACACGCCCTGGCTTTATATAGCGTAATGCGCACTGTCATGGCACACGCTCCCAGCATGGGCGCCCAATGCAGACTTAAAGGGTGTGCGGCTGACAGTAAACCACATGTTTGTGTGTTACAAACCACCAGTAAGGGCGGCTACAACACAACTGATGACAGAAGAACGCTTTCACTTTCTCAATCAAGCGAGACTAAAAAGGTGTATAAAAAGACTTAATTTCCTCTGAAGTGTGAGGTAAGCAGATTAGTGGTGACATTTTCTGCTTTTCATTTAAAACAAAAGCAATGAAAACATTTTAACCGTCCCGTACAGATTTTTGTGTTTCAAATTTAAGATAAGCAAATAAAAAAATTACATTACAATAAAGAATAAAATGCAAATACTTGATGCTGATCAATACTTTATAAGGAGTACAGTGTGCACCAAGCAGTGAGTAGAGAATGTATATATTTTAACAGTTCAAATTAATTTTATTTTCCCTTTTTTATTGTCAATGTTTATAAATATTACACTGAGTTATAATAACTTCATTTTTTCTAGTGTCAGTGTTTGCAATGAGCTTACAGCTGCATCTTATCAGCTAACATAACAGTTTTGTCTCACAATGACGTGAAAGTCTATTATTATCTCTCTCTCTCTCTCTCTCTCTCACACACACACACACACACACACACACACACACACACACACACACACACACAC